GGACGGTCTCGGAGAAGGCGCTTACAACAGAGCGGCACCGCATGCGAGCCATATTACCGCCCTTCAGTGCGTGGTCCTCCTATACCCTTCCGCCTTCCGCAGAAAACCCTGATTAGAACACCCGTTCCGACCGGATGTGCTGTTCATTTCCGAACTCTCATGTCCTGAATTGGCCAAGGCACCTGCAGACTGCATCTTCGAAGAGCATTCGTTCGCTTTGGTCTTGAACTCCGGGTTCCCGTGGACCTCTTGGAGAGCTGCCGCGACGTCGCATCGGTACTTGGCAGCCACCTGTGATGCCTCGCTCAGATCGCACATAGGTCGCTCGATTTGCAGGCCGACACCAAGCTGGACAGCCTTCTGAGCATTGACAGGCTGATCTGCAAATCCTGGGCAAACAACAACCGGAGAGCCAGTGCTCAGGGATTCCATGAAGCTGTTTTGGCCTCCATGCGTCAGGAACAAGTCCACGCCCTCCTTTAAGATGTCAACTTGTGGCATGACCGGCAAGCATGCAGCGTTCGCCGGAGCCACGAGGTTCTCAAGTGCATCTGGTTGTGGTCCCAAAGAGACCAACAGCAGCGGACCGGCATCAGCGCTGTCTGTGCCGAAGGCATCGAAAAGCCCACCCCAGGCGGCTTGGCAAAGCTCTTTGCCGGTCAAGCCCTGAAAAACTCCATCGACGGACCTAGGCTATTCCTCAGATCCTCTCACAAAAACCCCATTGCGCTCCCTGCCCATGTTTACGAAACAAGAACACACAAGAACCACAAGACGGTGTGCAGCCGGGTGGCATGTGGCTGGCCCAGCCAACTTCCGGGCCGTCTCCTGTAATGACCGTTCCCATGCTCGCAAAAATCACCTTTCGACCCGCTTCGCGGGCCTTGCGAATCAAGGCTACGGGATCGATGGGGGCAGTTTCTGCAGGCGGCTCAAGGCCCCGGGTAGACTCGGCCTCTTTCTGGAACTTGTGCCCTGCTGCTCGCTTGGCTCCGGCCTTGTCGAGCAGCGGCCCGACGAAGACAAACTCCGTTTGCGCTTCTTCGTAGATCTTCTCCAACTCTGGGGACAAGGGATCCGCCAGGAAGTCCACTGTGGTGACCAGGGTCAGAGCCGATTGCTTTGCAACCACCGACATTCCGACTGGTGCCATTTCCTCATCGAGCTCGATCTCTAAGCCATATTTGGCCCGCAAGCGATCAACAGCTTCAAGCAAAGGTTGGTAGGCACGGCGCTCCTGGGTCAAGGGATGTCAAGGGCAACCATGTTCCGGAGCAGGAATTTCCTCTAGACATCCTACACATGCTCCAGCCTTATGCCAGTAGCCTTTTGGCACAGCGCTCCTTCAAGCACCGCTCAGTGGTGTAGCCCATCTTCTCCATCCATTCCAAAGTCGCCGAGCGCAGGCTTCCCGGCCCAGCTGTTGTCATGATACCGACGCATGGTATGCCAAGAATCTGCGCAGCCCAACAGGCCTCCTTGTTCATCAGAGGGCAAATGACTACCACATCCACGCCGACTTTTTCAAG